GCTGCAGATGTTTTCCAAGATCAAAGGCAGAATCCTTTTGGCTGGAGGAGGTTATGATGTGATGGAAAATGAACCAAGCTTTGAAACAAAAAATTTTGAATTCTCCTCCCAATTCTAAGCGACTTTAGGAAAATCAGTAATATACGAGTGTAAGATCATCTTGAATGTTACTGGAAAAAACCAAAGCCCTCTGGCCTATGTCTGCAGAAGCCAAGCACCAGCTACTTTCATTGTTCCTCCTACTTTTCCTTCTCCTCCTGGGTCTTCTGAGTTCAGGCCAAGTTCTATAGAAATGGAGCAAAAGTGTCCTGAAGGAAGATCAAGAGGGAAAGGAGCCTCTTCACGAACCTGATAGTTTTTCCAGAAGGAAGAGCAGAAAAGCTTTTCACTTCATTTTCCATGGTCAGGAATTATAAAATTATAGCATTGTTAAAAATCACTGGAAACAAAATGTGTATATGGTTTTCAAAATTAGTGAGCAAAATTTATTGTGCAAAAAAATGTGACTATCGAGGCGAATAATATGCCACTGGATTCACGAGTCCCTGGTTGGGGTCATGAAAACCTGGGCCGAATTTTATCCCTGAACAGACTTATGATATTGAAGAATTGCCAGAGTGAAGAGTGTGGCCCATGGAGAAAAACGAACAGGCAGAAAGTGAGCCGGCATAAAACACAGGGAATCTAGAACCAATTAAATAAAAGTCAAAAAGAATGCCGAGATCTCCTATATGGGAAAATACGGTGTCAGCTGAGGACATTTAAATATCTTGATGCCCTTTATACACCCACAGCAATTTAAATGCGAAAGCCCTGGGGTGGGCCCATGCAGGCATCAATACTCTTTACCACCAGTTTGTGCACTGAATTTGAGAATAACTAGTACAGTCAAAACAAGACAATCCAGTTGGCTAGAGAGGGTGGAGGAAGGGGTTAAGTATATAATTCTGGTCACACTGAATTCAGTTTCCAAACCACCCAGGGCGTGTGTGTCAGGGGAGGGGAAGGGAAGGGACTGGATCTAAGGAAGAACAGGGCTGCTTAAGATTTTGGAGGAGTTTGCATACATTCAATATTTAGCTCTTCAAGTTTGTTAAGTGACAGAATGCACGAGCCAACGAATGTGGTCCTATTCCCCTGAGGGACTTATATTTAGAAGGCAGGAGGAAAGCCCTACCTGAGCAATTAGCTAGGTTCTAAAGAAGAGACACACTTAAGGCAGGAGAGAAAGGCTCAATGCTCCTGGCAGTGCTCAGACAAGGCTCCCTTCAAGAATGAAAAAGGAGAAATGTGGTGCAGGGGCCTGGAGAAGAGGAAGCAAAGGCTGTGGAAAGATATGGAAGCTTAGGTTTAACACAACAGAGAGGGAAATGGAATCGGGTGAAAACCACTGGGAAACAGCAGAGAAGAAAGATAGGGAGGAGCTGCAGAGATACCCTGGAGGAAGGAAGGAAGATCTCTCGCAGAGATAAAGATGGAGCCTGGAGGATAGAGCAGCTCATCACTAGGCTACAGAAGTCAGTTTCCACAGAAATAATTGGGAAGGGGTGGGTAAGGTTTGGAACTGATCCCCTCCAAATGGGAAAGACAGAAGGGAAAGCTTCCGGAGCTACTCTAGAGGGTGGAGGCTCACATTTAAACACTAAAACAAGGAACGCAAAAGAGAAAATTCTATCCCTATTGTGTCATCCTAGTCTGCGGTTGGTTAGCCTTGGGCCGGCCACTCATTTTCATTGGCTGTGGCTCTTAAGTGCTGACAACGGAGACTGGGTGACTTCCAGAGCCTTATCTAGTTCTGATCATTGAAACATTTCAGTGGTGAGAAACAGAATCACTGATAGAATTCACTCGGATATAGTAACTTTCATTTTACATATGTGCAAATTTACCACCCCCAGTCCCTTCATTCTTCAGGCACCTTCCCCCGGAACCCACTTTTTCAATGTGTGCCTACAGTCGTGGATCACGAAAGGACGGTAATAGCATGGTGGTGAAAGTCACAGAATCTGGGGTCTAATGCTTTTTCACTAACACTGTGACTTGTGAAAAAGTATGTGCATTAATTATTTTAATCTGTAAGGTCTGGTTTCATACCTACTATGGCACTAACCATGCAATGACTGGAGGACACGTCTAATTTATGGTCCTAGCAAAAACACACTAGCATTTTTTGAGCAAGCACAGAAAAAAAAAAAGAAAGAAAGAAAGCAGAACTCAGTGCCAGAAAAGTAGACTGCCTCATTTTTCAAGGTCTCATTTTGAATCAAACAGAATCCTTTAACAAGTAAAATGTCACACTCAGTCACCAGCTTCAAATATTGGCAGTAATATAGGCTCCAGAATCAGACAACCGTGGCTCAAAATGTAGCCAAGCCATTTAACAGCTCTATCTTCCTGAATCTCAACTTATTTATAAAAATGAAATGCATGCTACTTTCCTTACGACAGGAATGAAAGGTTTCCAGTTGCAGGCATTGGGCACATTTTGAAAAGTGGTGTCTCGCTCACTTTTACCTAACATCATGACTTACACATACGTACTTAAGTGCTTATCGGGGTTGGAGAGAGGGCTTGGTGTGCATACAAGCATTTGCCCCTACAAGTATGAGGACTTGAGTTCGAATTGCCAACAGCCACGTAAGGCTGGGCGCAGTATTGCTCATCAGCAATCTCCGTGACCTTATGGTGCAGTGTAACATCCCTGGCTGTCTTGGAACTAACTCTTGTAGACCAGGCTGGCTTCAAACACACCAAGATCTGCCTATCTCTGCCTCCCGGGTGCTGGGATTAAAGGCGTGTGCCACCACCGCCCGGCTAACTTTATTTTATTTTATGTATGTGAGTATTTTGCCTGCATGCATGTATGTTTGTGCACCTGGTGTGTACATGTGTGTATTCGGTGCCCATACAGGTCACAAGAGAGTGTCAGATCCACAAGAACCGGAATTATGTGGCTGTGAGCTGCCAGGTGGGTGCTGGGAATCAAACCCTGGTTCTCCAGAGAAGCAACCCAGTGCTCTTAACCACTGAGCCACTTCTCCAGCCCCAGCGGTATCTAGATATTTAATCCTTACTTTTGTCTAGAATTATGCCTCTCTTCTGACCTCAACTTGGCTGGAGCTTCTAATATCCTTCTCCTAGACCACAGTAACACTGAGCTGATATTCACTTCTGGAAAAGAGTGGGATCATGGAGTGATGTGGGAGTGATTTCTTATTAATAAAGAAACTGCCTAGGCCCATTTGATAGGCCAACCCTTAGGTAGGCGAAGAAAACAGAACAGGATGCTGGGAGAAAGAAGCTGAGTCAGGAGTCGCCATGATTCTCCCACTCCAGACAGACGCAGGTTAAGATCTTTCCTGGTGATGATTAGAAATGGGTTAGATTAATATGTAAGAGCTAGCCAGTTAGAGGCTACAGTTAGAGGCCAGGCAGTGTTTAAAAGAATACAGTTCCCGTGTAATTATTTCGGGCATAAGCTGGCCATGCGGGCGGCCGGGTGCTGGGGACGCAGCCCTGCCGCTCGTAATGCTACAATGGAGAAAGTGACAGAGCATAGAAAGAAATGGTTACAGCCACCAAAGCATCCTGAGGGGCAGTATCTGTGCAGGCACCCCTGAGAGAGATCATGGGTGGTCATCATCAGTCACTGTCCAGGGCACAGTTCTTGCTACTCTTCCTCTTGTTCTCTCTCAGTCTTGCGGTGTAAGGGAATCAGACAGAGGGAAGCAGAAAGCCTGGCCCCCCTCAGTAGAAGCAGGGGGTAAACGACTAGGGGGATTCTCAGTTCCTTCCTACTTCTTGTTCCCCTTAGAGGGTCATCTGCACTTGAGCAAGTGCTGAATTTGACTTTCTCTTTAATGTTGCTCCACGGCACACTTCAGGGAAGGCAAATGATTTGCCAGCGACCATAACATTGAAACAGAGACCAGGCTGATATCACCAACAGAGGTTTTCAACATCGGCTGCAAAGACAGCTTGACCATGGGAGTGGATAAATGGCACCGTGTGAAAAAGCTAGGGGGACTGATAAACATGCCCTGTTTCAATTAAGACCCAACTCATTATGAGAAACATAACTATAACAAAAATGTTGTGTTTTGGATTGTAGAATATTGGTGTTAACTCACTCAGAAGGAGGAAGATAAGGAAGAAGATTTCGAGATCAATAAAATAGATGTTAGCCACTTGAAGCACAATCTTTGGGCATCTATGCTAAAATATGTAAGAACAAAACATGAGTCAGGCCAGGTCTGCTCGCTCTCCCTAGTCTCCCTAGTTTCCAGGGGAGAAAAATCAGCTCACTTTATATGTGGAGCTGAGTTCCAGTTAACCACAGGAAGCAAAAATTACCACCAGCTGAGTAGCCCAGCCTCTCAGGAGACGTCCTACAGTTCGGGCGCTGTTTTATCTGATGTTACCATCTTAAAGGAAAAAGAAATCTAGGTTCCAAAAGAGAAGCTACAAAGAGGGTTGGTTTCTTAATGTGGATTTACATTCCATACATATTTCCTGCCAGGGCCCCAGGAAAGCCCCCATCTCCTTTCTTCAGTAGGCTGGAAAGTAGGGCTCCTAGGAGACTGAGTTAGAAGCCAAGAGCTTGTGTGGCGGCGTCCCATGGTTCCTCTTGGAAACAAGAGAGAAACAAAGAGCCCGATCTCCAGGGAGGCCTTCTCTGTGCTAGACAGACAGCCCATCCTCCTCCCAATTCCGTAGACTTAAAGGGAAGGGCGCAAGAATCGGTTCAGGGATCTCTGGAGTGGGAATGGGAATAGGCGAGATCTCATCCGTTCTGGAGATGTGTGACAATGACTTGAGAGGCCCACGTCGTTCTCTTAACTTATATTCCCCAGCTCTGTGCTTGCAACCACCCCACACCGCCTAGTTTCTAAAGGGAGAGGAGCGGTCTTCGGCCCTTAAGTGGAGATATCGGAGCTAGGCTCTGATTTCCCAGGCCTGGGGTGCGGGGCCACAGGGCTCCACCCGGGCTCCCAGCCCACCTTAAGGTCACGCGGCGCGGGAAGCGCCAGGCGTGCGCAGCAGGTGCGCCAAGTCCCCCGGGTCCCCACCGGGCGCGTTGCCTGGCGCCTCGCGGTGGCGGCGTAGCGCTGGAGCGGAGCGGAGAGGTGGAGCCTCGAGCACCGGGCGGGTGGAGTCGCCAGACGGAGGGCGGTGGAGGCGGATTTCCTGGGAGGGCTCTCTGGAGCTACCATGGCGTTTGGGAAGAGTCACCGCGATCCCTACGCTACCTCCGTGGGTCACCTCATAGGTAAGGAGGCGCGGGGTGCAACATCCCGACTGGCTTTGGGGACCGTGGGAGCGCTGCCTGCTCGACTCCGTTCTCGACTGTTGCGGGGCCGAGTTGGACCAAGTTGGAGGAAATGCTACCCTCCCCCGCAGCTTTCCCACGCCACCTGTGTGCCACCTGAGGCAGCTGCCCACCTTTCTTTCTTGGCTCTTTTATACCAGAAAAAAAAAAAAAAAAATACAGAATCTCCTTTTGGATGTCAGCTGGGCGAGTAGAGCCAAGCAGGTGACCCGCAGCACTGAGCAGATTGTTGGAACCGCTGGGAGGAGAAAGTGGAAACTTCTTGACCCGGGCAAGGTTCTTCATAAAGTGCGTCCGCTCCCATCACTTTATTGTTATACCCATTTTACGGACCAGGAAGAGAAGGCTCAGAGAAGCAAATTAGCATGACCTCACCTGGAGAGGCAGGTTTCTCCAAACCAATTTTCTCCGGCGCACAGCTCAAGCGAACTGAGTAGCTTTTTGCTTAAACAGGGAGATTGAAAATGTGTGTTGGTGGTGCTGAGGACGGAGAGAGGGGCCCTCGGAGGACTCAGAGGCTCCCAAGCGTCGCCCTCCAACCCAATATTGCTCTCCCTTTTCCCTTGTTCTTCTGCTCAGAAGTCGCTGACTACACTAAGATCCCTTCTTTCTCCCAACCCCTCCCTTAAGGACAGGGTGTGGCAACAGGACGAATTAAAGACAGGCAAACTGTCGGGACCTTAGTGGGGTGATGAAATCCTTAGAACCTGATAGTTTTTTTTTGTTTTTTTTCTTTTTTTTCTTTTTTTTTTTTTTTTGATTTTCGAGACAGGGTTTCTCTGTAGCTTTTTTGGTTCCTGGCCTGGAACTAGCTCTTCTAGACCAGGCTGGCCTCAAACTCACAGAGATCCGCCTGCCTCTGCCTCCCGAGTGCTGGGATTAAAGGCATAGGCCACCACCGCCCGGCTTGCCCTGACAGTCTTTAAGTAGCTCTCAAACGTCCCTCTTCACAAGCCAGGCCTCCATAGACTCTCAACATTCTCGTCTTCCAAGCTCCTACAGAACAGCCCACTGGGCCCTCAACACTCATTGGCTTTTCTAGTCCAAAGTTCCAAAGTCCTTCCACAGTCCTCCCCAACACAACATGATCAAGTCTGCC